TATATTGGCTAAACTAATAAATAATAGTTAAGTGGTGGAATACAACTACATTTACTCAAGTACTGTACTTTATTTTTCTAATTAGTCTTTTTTCTTAATGTGATGTCACTTCCTGGAGAATCTTTAAACTCTGCAGAAATAAAAAAAAAACTAAATCTATCTGAAGTGTGTGATGCAGATTATTTCTTATTTCAAAAGCTTCTTTGTGAGATAATATATTTGATCCTGATCCTGGTCCTGATCCTGATCCTGGTCCTGATCCTGGTCCTGATCCTGATCCTGATCCTGATCCTGGTCCTGATCTCTGGACGTCTCTCAGAGGTGACGCTCCAGGAGAAACACACGTCTGATGTTATTTTGTCTGTTTGTGTTTGCAGTGGAGATCAGCATGAAGGGTCCTCACGACTACATATCTGCCTCTGAGTGGCCTCTGATGGTGGTAAGAAGACACACACACACACACACACACACACAGTCTGGTGTCATGTGTGTGTTCATTATTGGTCATTTTTGCGATTTTGTTGTATTTAAAAAAAAAGTCAATTCTTGTCCCAAAGTTATTTATCTGTGTGTGTGTGTGTGTGTGTGTGTAGTTCTACATGGTGATGTGTATTGTGTACGTGCTGCTCGCTGCACTCTGGTTGGTTCTGTCGGCGTGTTACTGGAGGGATCTGCTCAGGATCCAGTTCTGGATCGGAGGCGTCATCTTCTTGGGAATGTTGGAGAAAGCTGTTTATTACGCAGAGTTCCAGAGCATCAGATACGACGGCCTGTCAGGTGAGTGTACCACACACACACACACACACACACACACACACACACACACACACACACACACTGAGTACCTGGGTGTTTGTGTTGACGTGTTCTCTCGTGTCGTCCTGCAGTCCACGGGGCCGTGGTGTTCGCTGAGCTTCTCTCTGCGGTGAAGAGGACTCTGGCTCGGGTGCTGGTGATCATCGCCAGTCTGGGATACGGCATCGTCAAGTAAGACGTCACCTGCGTCAGCTTATATCATGTACTTTTATCATGTACTTATATCATGTACTTATATCATGTATGTACTCTTACCACATTCCCTGATTTGACCTAATTCTAAATCTAATGCTTGAATTCGAAAATGTACGTAGCCTGAAACTGCTCTGATCGGTGGAGGTGGATGATCGCTGGAGGTTTTAGTGTCTCTGTCTCTGTCCATGTCTCCGTCAGGCCCAGACTCGGCGCCCTGCTTCACAGAGTCGTCGCTGTGGGTCTGCTCTACCTGATGTTCTCCAGCGTCGAGGGAATCCTCCGAGTCAACACTGTGAGTCTGTGTGTGTCTGTGGGTGTGTGTGTGTGTGT